GAAGTAAAGGGAATATCATTGAAGGAGAAGAACAGAACAGTTTCCTATCTTGTATAATATCATGTAACAGGTTGACACCTCTGGAAACTACCATTGTTGTTTCTGAGCCCAGACATTTTATCCCTATGTTCCAGGAGGGCAAATGTTCACATCTTGTTCAATTGCTGTGTACAGAGGTGCCACTATGCAATTTTCCCTTTTTGATGGGTAAGTAGTTGCTTCCAAATAGTTTGGACTGTATGATACAATATCCTCTGCATCACTTTTTTGTTTGTTTAGAGGGAGATTAAAAGAGTTTGGCTTTTTTCTTCATGTCGTTGCGTCTCCAGAGAGGTAACTTGTCAAACTCCTGTATCGTCATGCCAAATATTTCTTGGAAAACTTCAGGTGCTAAGTGACGCTTTGGGGGGAAAATAAAAGGAAAAAAAAAAAAAAAGGAGAAAAGGCAATGGTCAGTCAAAGCCAAAGAGACAACAGGAGACAGGAGTGCCTTAGGGGTTTCATGTCACTGTGTAAGAGCCATGGCAGGAAATAACAATGCTTTGGCAATACACATATCCAAGTCCTCCTGAGCTGGGCACTCAATGAATCAGTACAATTTTGCAATTTGTAACATCTGAGAACTTTACAAAGGAAATCAGGAAAACTACTCAGTTGCTGAATAAGCAAGAGACAGAAAAATGATTCGTCCGAAGTCCCCCAAAAAGCAGGATAGGCCAGAGAACAAAACCAGCTCCCGCAAGCCCCTGTCCTAGGCTTCAGGCTCATCGCCTCTGCTTACATGAGGCAGTTCAGACAGACACTGGGGTTCAGGAGAGCCTTGCAGAAGGGCTGCAGGTTGACATGCTACACGTGAAGTTCTGACAAGGAAGGCATCTGGCCAGACTAACTGTCCAGCACATTTCTCTACTGCCAATGAAACATTTTTTGGTGCTGTCCTGTGCACATTACTTCGTGTTCAGCTGCTGTAGTGCACACTGGATGGTGAAAGTGTCTCCCCGTGGCATTCTCATTCTGATCACATATCTACTAGTCTAAAAATGCGCATAAATGGTTACTTACCCAAATTTTTGTGGCCCCTTCCCTTCATCTCCACAGAAGATTAACTAACTGCAAATGATTTAAGCATCCCCAGCCTTCCACTGGGCTGCTTAAGGCTTTATAATCCATAAAGTTGTAAACAATTTTTATTTGTTGGCAGAGATTTAAATCCTCATATTTTTGGATATCAGCCAACTCAGAGGACTCACAGATGAGCTGAAGAAAGTTAGACTTTTGAGCCTCAAGGATAGCTGACACTGACTTAGCTAAGATATGATCCAAGACGGAGTACTGCTCCATTCCAATATGGATCCTTTAACTACAAAACACTCCACCAATTTCGGGCTTTTTACCAATTTACAAGAATATAATTAATTGCTTGAAAACAGAAGGGGGTTGTGAGAAGCTCAGTCCAGGTGCAGAGAGACAAGAGATGTGGGACTCCTGGTGCAGCATTGTTCATGGAGATGAGGCTAATTCCTCCTCCTGTCTGACTCCTCCATCCCTGCTTAGCGCTGAGAAATCTTCCCACTCTAACAAGGACCCAGCTGCAGTGTTTGAGCTTTCAAGTGTGCAACAACAAACAA